CTATATTTTAATTATGAACAAAAAATATCGTATTGTAAATCATACTAGTAGATTATAGCATTCAACGATGTGGTTAAAATTTAATTTCTCAAAGATCTTTTAAAAAAATATCAATAAAGGATAGAAAAATGACAAAATAGTGAATGATTTATTTGGATTTGGCAGTGATTAAATAAAGAATTTCAAATTTTATCATACAGCCATGATAATTCAAAATCTAAATCGAAACAGAATGACACAGAATAATTTGAAACACGAATATTTGTTGGATGGTACTGAGATTTTTTTCTCTCGGAATAATTCTCTCTCTCTCTCTCTTTTGAAAATGATGTGTACGACTTGCGTATTTGCGTATAGGCAGCTACGCGCCTGATTTCGTAGCCAAGAATTAATAAAAAAGATTTCTCATACAAAACATATTCAAGCCACCGTTAAATACTGCCTAGTAAGGAGGCGAACTTTGATAAAATACCATCTCCTCTGAAAGTTACTAAATAAATTTATGGAATACCTCTGATCGCTTCCTTTTTCTTGTCGATTTGTGTTTCAGTGCCCAATCATTATTTTCAGTGTGTTCAAATTGCTTTATGGAATGACAGCATCCCATATTCTTGATTTTCTAACCAAAAAAATTACAAGTAATTTAAGAATGGATAAAACATGATCAACTACAATGATTAAACTGTTTTGGATATAGTCTTTTGCTGGAAGATATCACTTCAAATGATTTCTGCACTTTATTAACCAAATAGTTTACATATAGTCTGTATTTTAATGATTTTTAAAATGGGTTTACCTGTCTTTAAATCACACGTTTTGTACTCAAAAGCAGATAAATAAACCAAACATTTTGTTGTCTTGGAAGAGGCTAAAACATCAGTTGCTAATCCTTGAAAATATCGAAATAAACTGACAAATTCTTCCTTATAAGTTTCCCTCCGTTTTTATGGTTTTATATATACAATGAAGGGTAAATTTTGGTTATACAGTAAATTAAGGAAAATATTCAAAAATAATCGACAGTGACTAGAAAGGATGCAATGACGTGTAAAAAAGGGGGATTAGAATTAGTTCGTATCGGATCATGTGAAGACTGTTTAAATAATCTACAGTCTTTAAGGAAATCTGTTGAATATCAGAAAACCCCTTCTCTATTAAACTATTTTCCTTCTTCTGACTTTTTCTTCTCCAGTGATTTTGGTATTGCTTCAGGTATTCAGTAAATACTGATTTATTTCAATTACGTTAATGGTCGGGGTTATTTAGTTGTTCATACAATGGCACTTCCATGTATTTGTAACATAATATGAAAGAAAATGTGGTCTATGACTTTAATAAGGTTTACAAAGTTATAATCTTTATTTGTGCAATGTTCTAAGTATAATCATTTCTAATATTGGTGTTATTATAAAAGTTTATCGTAATTGTATACTGTTAATTGAAATAAGAATTTTAATTATTCAATTGTCCGGGGGGGGGGGGTTGAGAGCCGGTATTTATATTCTACAAGAAACAAACCCTACTAAAACAATACGTGACTTCGTGTTTGGTTTGTAGACTGCAATAATATTAAGTACTGTAAGCCAAAATCAAACAAAAAAAATCAAAACAAAAAAGATTCTACAATAAGAAACAAACAAAACAATACCAAAAAATTAAAGAAAGAAAATCGTCATCCACAAGAAAAAGAAAACAAAAAATAACAAAACAAATCAATACAAAAAAAACCTTTTAACAAAACAAATTAAATGAAGGGCTGAAACATCAATCATTGTACTGTAGCATGTATTCTACATTTTAAAAATAGCGGCTTCCACTTAAGTATGCAAAAAGTATATTTGGTATATTTGTAGTAAACTGTTCATGTAATAGTGTATATTCGTATAGGTCCGACAACTTCCTCAAGGAAATCATATCTTCATAAATTTGGTTCTAATTATTTTTGGAACATCAACTACAGAAACAGGAAATTAAATCAGAACCACTCATTTCTGCGAAATCGATTTTTTCTTTAGGAAATGTCTATATTATCTCCTCTTTAAGGAGGCAGTTGAAATGCATATAAAAGAGTTCTAATTTCTTATTACTATAATTATGTTTTTGCAGTTAGAATAATCTGCCCTTAAATGTTAAATTTAATAAAAATAGGATTCAAAATCACATTTATGGCCACTGGGATGACAGGTTTGTCAATTACTGTCTCTTTGTGGTGGGAGCGTGTAGTGTAAAATAAATTGGCGCTGTAGGGAGTGAGAAACATATAATTAAATTCTTAGTTTATGGCTAAATGAACCATATTTTTGCAGTTCATTTTAGCTTAAAACATAAATTGAAATAAGCCTTGTATACCTTTATTCTTAAGTAAAAGGCCCATAGGAAGCAATTTCAGTTTGGGAGGGGGGGGGGGGGAGTTCCACCGAACATTTTCAGTTTAAATACAAAAGAAAAATTCCTTGACAAGTAAAAGGGGAAATTTATTATTTAGGGGAAACAAGCATAAAGTAGTAGTGTTTTCTATAGTAAACTGAATGTTGGCAAATTTAGGGGGAGGGGGCGGTCCCATGCAGACAGTACCCATCGTTCCTACGGCCTTAGTTTTAAATGTACATGTACAAATGTATCTAGTATAATTCAAACTATACTTAAGAGTAGAAATATGAACATTATGAAGAATTTATTCTATTTGAATTACTAAAATCAAAACCGAATAAAAACTGCATAAAGTGTTTTGAAATTAGTACAGGACTTCAAGTGCAAAAGTTCAGATGGAATACGTAGTAGGCTGAAAGACATTTTTTCGTCTGTCTGACAGTCTGTGACAAATTTGTCTTTCTAATAAACTAGTTCCTGCATCACGCTTTTTTTTTATTGTCAATGATTGTCACTTTTACTGAGTTTGTCAGTGATTGTCACTTTTACTGAGTTTAACTCAATATATGCCATGAAATTTTATCTAATCTTCAAAGTTTATGTATGGATCGGGTTTTGTGGTAACTGCAAGGGACTTAATCACCTACTCTAGTATAAAAGGAACAATGAACTTTGTAAAGAGAAAGTAGAAAAACACAAAAGACACTAAAAAAAATAAATAAATGTTTTTATTCTGAAAGGGAATAACGACCGACTTCTTTTGCAGTTTCATCCAAATTAAGCCATTTAAAGGGATTAAATCTCGCATTAAGCGGTTGATGGGCAATATGAAAACCATTTATCCTTCTGTCTTCAATAAATCAGAAGTGCAAAAAAGAAGAATTAGATTTATAACACGATCGATAAATACTGGTCCCAAAAGGAGGCAACAACACTGTCTTTGTTTGTAGGGCTTATTCTTTTTTAATGGATTTTAACGAAGCTTGGATTTTATTCTGCAAGTGGTAATCCAACATATAGTTCCCTTTGTAAGAGGATATTTTTTCAAAATCATATGTCAGTTTTAAATATTTTTAATATTCTCAACAATCAAATTGAATTTATGCTGGATTCCTGAACTTCATAAAAATACTTACAAATACATAGCAGCTTCCAGCAAATGTTCTACCAAGCCTCTTTCTTAATTTATGCCTCATCAAAATATTAACAGCAGCAAAGGAGAAACTTCAGGAGTACTGTATAACAACATACCGTATTCGAGAAGTGGTGTTAATCAAATGTGGATAATTAAAAACTCAAGGAACTTTTAGATTTGCAATTACAAATTTCAACCAAAACCAGTAACATCAAAACGTACGACTTTTCTACACTTTATACAACCATTCCCCACGATAAAGTAAAGTCCAGGCTTTTTGACATGATAGACAGCTGCTTTTTCAATAAATCTGGAATTCGTAAATATATTTACCTTATCATTGGTCATTTGCAAAATTATTTTCTTAAAAAAGCATTGTTGTACACATAAGTTCTCTGAAGTTGATATTAAAAAATTCTTGATTTTCCGATTGACAATACATGTATCTATGTAGTTTTTTTGGAGATCAGGTCTTCCAACAATCTGGTTAAAATTTCCATGGGTACCAATTGCGCACCGTTATTAGCACACCTATTTTTATATTCATTTGAAGCAGAATTTATTCAAACACTTCTAAATGAGAAGAAAACACTCGCTGTGGCCTTCAACTCGACATTAAGATGTATATCTACGGCCTATTATCAATTATCAATAGTTACTTCCATTCATATATCCACTCGATATATTCCAGTGAGCTTGAAATAAAAGATATCACAGAGTCTGACACATCTGTTTCATATTTGGATATTTTACTAGAAAAAAACTTAAGTGGTAACCTAACAACAAAGCTTCATGATAACCGTTGATGATTCAAATTTTTCAATTGTCAACTTCCCTTACTTATGTAGCAATATACACTTATCACTTGCATATAAGGTTTATATCTCCCAGTTGACTCGATACGCAAGAGCATGCTAATTTCTAAAGCGAGGCAAGTTGATAAAACAAGGATATCAACAGTTTCGTTTGAAGTCATCATTTTGCAAGTTTTGTGGTCGGTACAATGACCTTGTCAGCAAATACAGCATATCATTAAGTCAAATGCTGACTGACGTTGTTCATACTACCAGTAATTGTTAGGCCATTATTTGAACTGAATTGTCTATGGATTTTTCCGGTATTTCCCGATCATGACAAGGAGCACAAGGCGCGTCTGACCGGATTGGCAGGGATGCTCATTCCTCCATGGCACCTGATCCCGCTTTTGATGTTTTTGGAGGTTAGTGTTTGCTCTGCTCCCGACGTGCATTGCTTAAATGGACATTGAGCTTAAAAACTGTTCGTTATCTCCATATTACATTTATTAAATTTTTATATTTGTGATATTAATTATCATAACACTAATATTCTTTTTTAAAAATCTTGTTCAGTTTTTACTACTCCAAGTCTCCAACCATCTTCATTTCCTTTTTGTTTACAGTAAAATATAAACTCCGTAATAGGAAAAAAAGATTTTAAATGTATTTTGGTAAATATTAAAAAAAAAAATCATCCCTAGTGAATACAGAAAATGAAAAATACAGATAAATAAAAATTCAATTAATTAATTATGAAATAAAATGGTAGGTCAGATTTTTTTTAATTTCTGTGTAAAACTTTATATACTAGTACACTTAGCACATTGTGGTAGGATGAAATAGGACAATTAATTCAGGATCTTCTGTTACTGTGTATTTCATTTCACTGCTGTAACCTAATGCGTCACTTCCAAAGCGTCATCTCGATGCATCATTTCCACCGCGTCACCCAGGGCCCCTCCATTGTCCATCCAAGAGAATACCGTTTCATAATTTTCTCCACTAGGTGGCGCTGTTTGACACTATTCAGAATCATGTCCTTCATGTCATTACTGATCGACTTGCATTCATTTATCTGGCATGTTAATTTAAAAAATATTACAATATGTACATGTATGTAATTGTGAATTCAAATATACTGCATATGATAAAAGGTTACATGTAGTACTAGTAATTTTATATATTACTCAAACAGAAGATCGAGTTTAGTAGTGCTATATATGTATACATATACTAGCTAGTATACCAATTGTCTTCCAACCTTCATTTTATTCTTTTTCTTTTCCGAAAAAAATTACATGTAAAGGCACTTTATGGCTTTGAATCAAAACTTGACTGTGTGTTTTGGATTTTAAATCACAGCTTTGCTTTTTTTACCTGATCCGGGTATCGTCTCCTCAACTCCTCCCTTTCCTGTTGTCGCTTTCGCATCAACTTCCGGTAGTAATCTGGTCCTTCAAGAACGTATTTAGGAACATCTGATTTATGTACTACCGAATCCGCCACTCCTTCGTTCGGGCTGTACTCCTGATATTCATATCCACTAATGTTCAAGCACTCGGACAGTGGCAATCTGTGAATGCTTGCGGACTCCTCGTGTTTTTCCGAGTCTTTTTCCTTAAAAATTCGGACAAACCTCAACTGCAACAACAACAGCGGAAGGATGTCGATTTTCTTTCCAGGAATAGATGCAATTCGAACAGCAAGCTTGGTTTCTGTGCGGGTTTTGAGCAAAGTCAATACACTAGCATTTCTTTTAGTGATGAGACGATCAATTTGATTTGTATTTAATGTGTAGAACTCGCACTCAGTCGAACAGAAAACTCGAAATAATGATGTTGGGAGATTAAGCATGATCTCTATATCGTGGATTATGTCCCCTCCTTCCACGTGACACAACTCTACCTTACGACTTGCAACGAAGCGTTCTGCGGCTGCGTAACCGTCTGTTCTTTTGATGGACGCTAGTTCCGTCATGTATTTATTTTGGTTCCTATGAATGCTGGGTAGCTTCGAATACTTTGCATTTTGGTGTCTACCCGACCAAAAAAAAAAAAAAAAAAAATATATATATATATATATATATATTAATAAATAAATAAATATATAAATAAATAAATTAATAATTAAAAAAAAAAGATTTATTCCAAACAAATTTATTTTTAAGAGCTTTTGTCCAATCCCATTGTGTATATATATGTATTTATTGCTATAAAATAATTTCGATTCGATTCATATTTTTAAATGTTGTCATTCTCTGACTTAGTTTCCTTAAAATTAACTTCAAAAGAGTACAATTTATAAATTGTAGATGTTTTTGATTAAAATAAAAGGACAAATAACGATTATTACTCGAAATCAAGTGGATGTTTCTTGCTCATCTCTGCAGCATGGAATAATGCTGGGTACTGTTTTCTGTGTAAATCTGGAATAGCGGACAAACGAGCCTTTCCTCTATAAGATATAAAACAAAAAGAAAGGACATTTCTAAAATTTATGAATATATGAATAAATAAATATACTTGTAGATTTCCTATTTCGAATAATGTGTACCTGGTCAGTCTCTTTGACCTAATGACCTCAAAGAAACTTAATGTTATCGTTAAAAACTTTTTAACATTGTTGTTAATTTCTTAAATAAATCGAGAATTAAAATATCTCAAACATGGGTTGCTCAGAACACTGGTTACGTTTAACCACTGGTCACATGTACAAATTGACAATTCAATGGATAAATTTTGATCAGTGGATAATTTCTCATTTTACTGCTGGTTAAAAATGCTTGTTCATTGCAAGAAAGTACACTGTGGGATTCTAACCGCTGGTTAGGTCATATAGATCATGTATTATTTATGATCGTTTGTGATCAAAGGTATCAGCATTACCAGAGCACTGTTCTGTCATATAGCAAGATGGACAGAGAGAAAAAACTCAAAAAAGTAAATGCCTTTAAAATTGAAAAAAAAAAATCCCCAAAAGTCGTTGCTGTACTCTTATCACCTTTCTCTGCAATATTTACAAAGACCAACAAAGCAGAGGGGATTGGGGCACAGTTTTCATGAAATCCGCCATAGCTAACCTCCATATATATATAAATTTGAGAACGCCCACTCTACAGCGAATAGTATTATTTAATCTCGGTTGAGGAGGGCCATCTTGCTAAAGAAATTTGCGTTAAGTTTGAAATATCAAAGATTGTTTCCATTAGAAAAACAAGATGTATTTGTGAAACACTAATGCCCCCGTATGGCAACTTATAGCAAAGGTTAAACTTTCTCAAATGCAAATCAAATATGTTGGTACCCAAAGTAAGGTCTTGTCTCGAGGAATATACCTGTGAAATATGAAAGTTGTTGGTATCCAAAGGAAGGTCTTGTCACAAGGATTACATATGTGAAGTATGAAAGCCTTAGCACCAACTGTTCAAAAGTTATGGCCAAGGTTAAAGTTTTTCAAAAGTAGGTCAAACTCCAAGGTCAAGGTCAAAGGGTCAAAGTTGTTGGTTTCCAAAGGAAGGTATTGTCACAAGGATTACTCATGTGAAGTATGAAAGCCCTAGCACCAATTGTTCAAAAGTTATGGCCAAGGTTAAAGTTGGGTAAAATTTTGCAAAACTAGGTCAAACTCCAAGGTCAAGGTCAAAAGGTCAAATATGGTGGTACCCAAAGAAAGGTCTTGTCACATGGAATACACATGTGAAATATGAAAGCCATAGATCCAACCAATCAAAAGTCATAGGCAATGTTAAAGTTTTTGCGAACAGACAGACAGACAGACGGACGGACAGGACAAAAACTATATACCCCGAATCTTCGATACGGGGACATAAAAATTTAAAAATGCAACTTACGTGACGAGAAAATGGAGACCTTTGACCTCACTTCCTTGCCGGAAGGCACATTGACCAGGGTAAAATACCCGCCTTTTCAAAGTAGCTACTAAGTGTTCCTTATGGGCTTCCGTCCATTTCGCAAAGAATGGATGAGTCTTGACAAAAAACCTTTTAGCATCTAACTCTTTGGATTGGTTTGCCTGTGGATTAAATATGACTGTGTTACATTTTTTTGTTTTCCATGTACATGATGTATTATAGTGGGTTTTTTTCAATCAAAGGTGCATTTAGAGAACGCTGTAGTTTAATTTTAACGCATGCATGTGTTTAATTAATCTGTTTTTGTAAAACAAGCTGTATGTACATGATGTAGTATTGTGTAGTTAGTAAATTATTAATGATTTCTTATTCAGGCCCTATTGGCTGTCACAAAATACTGCTCTTGTTTCTAGATCCATACAATTGTAACATTGTTGACAAAAGTAGTTCTTAAAATTGCTGATTTAAGAATAAAAATCATCTATCTGAAAAAGAAATACATACATGTATCATAGAACACTTTGATATGATGTTCTCCCATTTAATATCTGTTTATTTATTTTTGATTTGTTTTGCTTTTGTTTTGTTTTGTTTTATTTTATTATTATTTTTTTTTTTTGCATTGCTTATTGCTGTACAGAAAATATACTATAAGTTTGATTAGACCTAATTTAAAAACGAACGAAACCAAATATATATATGTACTACCGATAATTGAATAATAATAATATAATAATAATCATAATAAAAAAAACAAACGAAAAGGAACTAATAAAAAAATGGAAAAAAATATTATACCGAAATAGTGCTTTCAAAGAGTTCCCTGTCAATCACCAGAAGGTCTACTGTCTCCTCTGCAACGATGGTAGCGTTCCGTACAATGCTCCCTAGCAAAGCTAACTCACCAAACGAGTGTCCAGTTGCTGTCCAGATATTGAAACACAGTTCTATTAGGATTACATACAGGTAAGATTGATTGATTGATTGTATGTTGTTTTACGTCCCGTTCGAGAATTTTTCACTCATATAGAGACGTCGCCATATATATACCCGTGAAGGGCTTCAAATTTAGACCTATACTCGGCACTCAGGGCCATTGAGCAGTGAGAGTTCTTTATCGTGCTAACACCTACCGCGACACGGGGCCTCGGTTTTTAAGGTCTCATCCGAAGAACCCGCAACATTCACTTCAAAGTGCCGAGAGCTTGGCGATGGAACAGCTGCTACCTATTTTTTATCGCCGTAGGTTAGTCGCGGCCGTGATTCGAACACACGACCTTCCGATCACGCATACAGATAAGAAATTAACACAAAGCGCATAGTGGTACACACCCTTCCCCTTTCCACAGACACATGCACACTCACAAGGAGCAGTGCTGGTGTTGCATGTAGCCCACCCCGTCTCCTTCAACTTGTGTAGATATTTCAAGTGTTAATGCTGTTATTAGCTCACCTGAGCTGAAAGCTCAAGTGAGTTTTTCTGATCACCCGTTGTCCGTCATCCGTCCGTCCGTCTGTAAACTTTTCACATTTTCAACTTCTTCTCAAGATTTTTACCACTGAGCCAATTTTGACCAAAGCTGGTAAAAAGCATGCATCCTTGGGTAAAGGGAAGTTTAAATTGTTAAATTGAAGGGCCAAGCCTCCTTACAAGAGGATATAATCATGAAAAGACAAAAATAGGGTGGGGTCATTAAAAAATCTTCTCAATAACCAGTGGGCCAGAAAAGCTGAAACTTATTTGAAAGCATCTTTATTTAGTGTAGATTCTAAATTGTTCAAATCATGACCCCCGGGGGGTAGGGCGGGGCCACAATAGGGAATCAAATTTTTCATTGAAATATATAGGAAAAATCTTTAAAAATCTTCTTCTCAAGAACCAGTGGGCACGAAAAGCTGAAACTTTTGTGGAAGCATCCTTGGGTAGTGTAGACTCTAAATTGTTCAAATCATGACCCGGCCCCGGGGTATGACAGGGCCACAATAGGGAATCAAAGTTTTACATTGAAATATATAGGAAAAATCTTTAAAAATCTTCTTCTCAAGAACCACTGGGCCAGAAAAGCTGAAATTTATGTGGAAACAACCAAGGTTAGTGAAGATTCTAATCTAATGCTAACAGCATGGGCCCATGGGCCTCTTGTGTTTATTTTTAAAAAATATTTCCTACCGAATTATTGCATATATCTTATGTATTTATTGATATAAATTCCACATATAATCCCAGACGTTTATGTTGGCAGCATGACACATACTTTAATTGTATACATGTACATGTATGTATATAATTTGATTATATCAAATAGCTTCTAGTTCAGTTTGAAGTACTATTAGTAAGACTTTTCCATTAATGTCTTAATAGATTTATATTTTCAAATTTCTTTGTCCGAGATAAAACTACAAATAAGGAAATAGCTTTATATCCCCTTAAAGCGATTTGCTCAGCACGTGACAGAACTCAATACTTTCTCGCTGTGTGTTGCTTAGTAATGCACTGGGTGGGACCTGCAGAGATTTCTTATTATTGAATAAAAATATGTTTTATTGAATCAAGGATCAGATGAAAATGTAAATATAAGGGAAAACTTTTTTTTTGTTTTATGATGATGTTCAATCAGTTGGCTCGCTTTTATTCAAATTATCACACAAGTAAAATGATTGATCACATCATAAAAAAAAAAAAAAAAACAAAAAAAAAAAAAAACAAATATTCCTGAAAATATATTTTTGGTGGACATTAATCTACAGGTAACCATGAATATAATAGTTGTAACATGCACTAAACATATATTTTTACTTAATTTTCCAGTATAGTTTACAGTCATATATGGGTTAGCAGATAATCGTTGGGAATATAAATTGTAATAATTTGGAGCTTACGTAAGACGTTAACTTTGGGTCCATACAATTCTTCCATTGGATCCAGCTGTTCGATGTTTACGTCTTTAACGTGACATTGGCTTTGATGGCTTTGGGTCTCCTTTTTGAGACTATTAGCGCTGGCTGTACTGTATATGCTGGGTAACTCTATTACCATAGATTTCTTTTTCCTCGCTTTTCGGGATATTTCTTTGACATATACACCAACTGAACCTCTTATTACAACGTAGAACCTGTAGTGTTATAATAATGATGTTATAATTATAATGATCAATATATAATATAATCTTATAGTTCATAAAATCTGGTTGGTACATGAAGATGAAAACAATTTATTTCCTGTAAACTTCTCAGGTAAAGTAAATATCGATCACCAGAAAAAAAGGGTTTATCAGAAATTTTAAACTATTTTTACATAGTCTGGACACATATATAACTATGTACGTGTATGGTATCACCACTCACTTGCTTCCCTCCTCCCCCTGGGTAACGATAACAGTTCCTTTGTCAACGTGCAAATGTTCACTATATTTCAGAATCTCTGCTGCAACGTCTGAACATCAAATACATGTACAAATGTACATGTTTTATAAAACAAAGAAATTTAAGAAATGTGTAATGATGCACAATAATTCTTGGTTTGAAAAGTAATATATTAAAAAAAATAATAATAAATTTAAAAGATTACTTAGTTTTATAAAATGAAATACGGTAAACAAATAAATTAAATGATAAGTAAACAAATAAATAATTTAATTAAATAAATAAATAACTGTAATTAAAATGATACAAAGAGGTATAACTTTATCCTGATGCAAAAATTATTATTGTTATTATAAATGAAGTAAAATAAAATAAATTTTATGTACAGATGGAAGAAATTCAAACCTCTTTCCACATTTCGCAGACAATCTGTTTTCATCATGAAAGCGGGTAGAAAAAGATCGATTTCCTTCCGTGTGCGCCTTTCTGGGTGTTTTTGGATCAGATGTAATAAAGATGTACTAGTTACATTATCCATAATTCTTATTGCTTGAACTTTTTTGACAGTTTTCTTAAAAACATTCTTCGCTGCCATGTTGCTTGAAAAAGAATTATTGTGACGTCATAATAGATGATTTTTACGTTTCCGCATTGCTTTGCGGTCAAATGTGGGCCAATGTACAAGTAGATCCTAGGATATCTGGCAGGAACCTCGATGCCAAGAAACGGTCTATAAGCCTGTAAAAATATTCCCGGAGGGAAAGGGGGGTACAGTGTTTTTAGCTTCTTTACCGTTATATTATAACTGAAAATCCAAGAGGAGGTCCAACCCCCCAACCCCCCCCTCCACCGGTTCTGCTAATTTTGAAGTCATATAACAGTATCCATAAATTGGAAATCCCACATATCAATGCACTTCTTTGAACTTTAAGGCAGGCCATGAAATAATTGTAATTTGGATTCAGTGTCACCATCGCTATTCAAATATTTACTTTAACATTATTTTCAGATTTAAAATTGAGACATTTTTATAAGTACATATCAAACTTGAAATTAAAATTATTTTTATGCAAGTTAATATTCAAGTTAACTTTTTTTTACTGCTACTGGATTTGGGTACATGTCATTGTGTCAAACAGCAGAATTAAATAAATAGGTTTATTGCTGAAATCGTTTGCAGCCAAGTATCGAATCCGGAAACTTGAGATCTGCACTTATGGGTTCTATTCGTACTTTTAACTTCCGCTGATGTGGTAGGAACGGTAACTAGCCTGGTAGATCCACCGTCGATTAATTTCACAATTAATTTCACCCAATTTATCCAAAAATTAGGAAAAGGTATGTGCAAGGTTTTGTAAGTATTTTTGATTGGTCACGAGGCACGATCAAACGTGACATTTTGTCGTCTGTTTATTTAGTAACATATGGTCTTTTGTAATGCACGCAACCGCGTGTTAACAAGCAGCAGAATCAATGAAACCACAAATTTGTTTGGCAGTAGAAAATTTTAAATTTAATGATGAAAAATGTAATGATGCAAAATGTTTAGAAATTTTTAAATTGTTTGAAGTGACAAACTATAAGGGTTTGTAATGGGATTCAAGAAAATTTATGTGCAAGGCAAGGTCAAGGTTATAAGACTCCTGTTCATTTCCCATAGACATGTGTATAGAAAGGTCTGTCGTAGAAATCAAGATGGAGCTGTGAAATCTTACAGTAGACTTCACATTGTCCACCACAGAAAAATATGTTTTTCATGCAGATCATGGTATTTTTACCAGTATGCATGATCATTAAACATACATGCAACATTTGAAAAATACAATGTTTTTAGTTATGATAGTTGTAGAAATGATCACTCAGATTAGCTCTTAGAATGCAGATTTTTGCCACATTTATCTGAATATTTCCGGGATACATGCCCCTGGACTACCGTAGTATATTCAGACTTCTAACACTAATGTCAACAAATCCTTCTAATTTTTCCCTTTTCTGTGAGTCGAATAAGGGGATAGTCGAATAAAATAGCCAGATAAATCCCTGTAAAAATTGAATGTAGCAGTTGGCATTCAGGAGAAATAAACACACAAGGCATTTTATTTTGCATTCTTGATTTAATAAAATTATTGATACAACAGATCTACCTTTGAATTTATTTGAAAGGCACATTTTGTTTATTTCATTAGGCGTAATAAAAAAAAAATGTTTGTTTACGGTTACATGCCGAAATAAAATAGGGTCGGTAGGTAGGATTTTTTATTTTATTTTATTAAATTTTTTATACACAAATTCACATTCATGTATTGGTTGAAATGCAAAACAGTTTTACCATTGTGTGGTGCTTTACTTTTGTTTGGGCTTGCCATATGCATGATATGGGTGATAGTAGCTGCAATAATGTAGCCCTCTCAGATTTTTTTTTGTTTTTGTTTTTTTTTTGTTTTTTGTTTTTTTTTGGGGGGGGGAGAGGGTTACAACTCCTTAGGATCTCCGTAATGGTGCAAGTGCGGGAGTGATTCACTACTGCACTGATTTCGGCTCAAATTATCAGTAAGTGGGTATTTTATTAACATATCTTACCTGAACTCATAAAATGTAGTTATGCAAGACATGAATTAATCCAAAAAAATACAGAACAATCCGTATATCGGTTATTTTTCGTGTATGTTAACATCACAACTTGAATTTATCCGCCATGTTTACTGACCTTGATCGATTTTATTTTGGGACAACCAATGAGAATTCAGGATCAAGGGGAGCGGATCGTTCAGGATTTCCCTTATTTTAAGCATAAATATCACTGTTTATGAAAAAAGTATCACATGGAATGCTTCTATTTATCGATGTTTAGTGATATCATACAACACAAACATTTATCAACATCGATGTGTACTTTATCAAGTGATTCTAAATTTCAAGCGCAAGTCTGTACATCATGCGAGAACTGTCATGGCTTCTGAGGAGAACGACTGGTAAACACGAAGATTTATTTTACTTGGTTTTTGCTTATAAAGGGCTATGATGTTGATAGTGAATAAAAATTCCGTCTTATTGGAAGTAAGTTGAATGCAAAAACAATTTATTTTGCCTGCAGTCACCCGTATCTAAAAAATATTACGGAGATGCAGTGGAATTGTAGCCCTCTCCTGAAAATATCAGATTAAAAAAATTGGAGATGGCTACATTATTGCAGCTAGGGTGATAGACAGGAACACCTTGATGTAGATATTAAACACACCGTTTTGTTTCTAGTACTGGCGAGTGACTTCTGAATTTTACGATGAAAAACATTTGGGTCGGTGATTAAATAGGGTCAGTTGGGTAACCATAAAGAAACATTTTTTTTTTATTATGCTCCAATAGCACTATTATGCACTATTTTTTTTAATGCATTATTGCTAATATTGTAATGTGTAACTATAAGTGTTAGACAGTCGATGGGAAAACGTAAAAGGCAGTAAAACCCATGAGATTATGTACATGTAAAAGCTTATGATAAAAACTTCAAAGAATATCCCATGGTTAGTGAGTGAATATGATTTTTTTTTCCAAAAATTTTTGTGCTTTATGTCCCTATAACTGCCTATAGTTCTAGCCTTAGGCAAAAGGATAGAATAAAGCACACAACTTGTGAGATAAAAGTCATATTTTTTACAATCCATGAGAGGTCCATATATAATACATTTCATTTAATTTTGTTTATTTATTTTTTTTTTGTACATTATTTAGTATTAAACATTAGTTTTTATAGATATTAGTTCCTGTTAAATAATGATCCAGTCCAATGCACTTATGTACTTTACTGGCAATTATTTTAAAATCATTTCAAGATTAAAAATTGAGTGAAATTGAAAAAAAAAAGGTTTTAAGCTAAGTGAAGTAGAAAAAAGCAATTATTTATTTTATGGTTGAGAATTAATAAGTAAGTATAATGAAAATAAATGTTTGAATGTAAATGTAATGTACATTGTACACATAGACCTGATAGTCTAGACAGGAGTACGTTTTGACAACATATTACATACTTCATAACCAGCACAAGAGTGCGCAGACAGGAATTCCCTTTCAATGATCAGTTGTTCCCCAGTTGCACAATGTTGGATGTTAGACATTGATACACATTTCAGAATGTAGGTATTTAATATATACATTGAGTATTATTTTGATGGATGTGTTCCATCGTTTCTGTCAGAATTCTTAAGAGCTCTGCAGGACTACCTGTACATGTATGTCTTTTCCCCATTCCTAACATCAGGTGATTTACAGGAGTGATATATTTTTGTCACATTTATAATTAAAACAATTTTTTTTCAGATTGAACCTGTCCATTGGTTACACTGGGACATAGAAGCAACAGAAAGAAGAATTTACCTTTATGTGAGATTGTCTATGTTAACAAGTAATTAATACACTGAGAATATTGACAGCAAGAGCCTGAGGGCAAAATGAAATAATCGTCTTAAAGGAATACTTCGTTATTTGTTGAAACCCCTGCAAAATAATTATGAATATGGATATATTTGTGATATTAATTAAGTGAATCAGGAATAGAGCCATACATATTATACATCTTGAATACTGGACTAAAAAATGCTTTATAAACTTTATATATGTCAGGTACATGTAAAGGCTTTTATAGGTATGGTAGGGGGATAAACATGTTTAACATTGATTAACCCCACAAATAAATTTCTACATTTTCAGTACCAGTAAAATGAGTGTAAGATGGATATTAACTACATTTTCTCTTGTGTCAATTTGGGCTCTTTCCAAATTTAGTTTTAAGAAAAAAAGGAATTTAGTTAACTATTAGGAGCTGTATATTCCAAAATGTGTATAGTTTTCAACTTTATAACAGTGCTAGGAAGTATTACAGGAAATACTTAGTGTATGTAGCGTGTGCTTAATGTTCAAAGTTTATGTAGGTATGATAGGTTCATTTGATAGGACCAATGAATAAACCCTAAGTCTGCCTGTCTCATATTCTGTCACCTATTTATATAATTATTATATGTTCTGTAAACAGTTAACCATCAATTCATATTCAGTCCATTGGAGTTTATTGGAGCTGTACAAAGTTAGTGAACAACGCAGTTGAGGAAATGACTCATGTCAAATGTTTTGGACAGCTGGATTGCATGAAAATATGCATTCAAACTGTTATCGCAATGTAAAATTGTGATTAAAAAATTTAATTTTGTAAGATAAGAGACTCAAACTCATGACCCTTTTAATAGTGATTCAATTAAAAAAAGTGATATTTGTGGTCATCATAAATTTTGATAATTTGTATATTGATAGCTTAAGTGTTTTTAAATTTTAAACTTGCACAATAATTTCCTGAACAACTTGATAGTCCTCTCATCCGATAAGGTGCATGTGTATTGCTTGAAATATTTTTGGGAAAAGGAGAGGGGATGCATAGAAAAAAAAAATCCACTCAACTCTGCTCATTTTCATGTACACCTTTCTTTCTCTTTTGGCGTAAAGTGATTGGAGGGGGGGGGGGGTAAACCAACATAGTGGTGTAAATTCAAATCAAGTTATTGAAACATACATTTTTGCCGCTTGCAATATATTGATTAATATCTATTTCTTGAAAATAAACTGGCAATTGTTTTAATTTTAAGGATCAAGGATTAGTGTCAGTAGACCCTCAAGAAGATTTAAAGAGAAAGTTTCAAGATACAGATGAAGACAGAAGAAAGAAGACAAGAAAAGTGAGAAGAATTCTGTAAATATATATATGTTTTTGGTAAAATATAAAAATATGACATTTTTGTACAAAAAAAAGGTTTGTTGAAACATTTATTGGTGATAATTGGCTACCAAGGCTAATTAACTAAGGGATATGCATCAGTTGCATTGAGGTGAAAATAAAATTGAGAGGAATACTATAATTCACAGCCATTAAGGGATTTGTTGTTCCTCTTGTGTATTCAATATTTATAATTTTGATCATCTTTTTTTGTCTTTCAAACAATACAAATGCTTAGTTTTGGTGCAATTAGTTTTAATTTAGGTCCTTTTTAAAGATTTTTTTTGAAAGCATTTGTTATGAGGGAAAATTGAATTTTAACCCTGCTTTTTAATAAGAAAAAATATACCTTATCTTTTGTTGCCTCCTTTGTGAGCTCCAAGCAATTTGTACCTCTTGGAGTTATCTTTCTTCTAAAGATATAAATTCTAAAAGTGGGTTATATAGTATTAATTTGACCTTAAATGACAACTGATGCATATGTCTAATCTGTTGTATTGCAGAAATTTCATTATTGAAAAGTTATATAATAAACTTTTCTTATCATAAAATTTGTATTGGTATATGGGATTGACACCTTGATGTCAAAGAAGTCTTAAATAACTGGAATCCAGTTCCCCCCAAAATTCAATATATATTAAAAAAGGAACAAAATACAGTAAAACATGCTTATATCGAAGTGCAAGTGACGGAGATTTTGCTTCGTTATTAGCGTAATTCATTATATCTTTTAAGTTTACCATACCTATATTTTAAAGTCATGGGGAATGAAACTCTCTTTGCTGTAAGCGTAAGCGTAAATTTATTATAAGTGTGTTCTTATAAGCCTATATTTATAAGCGTGTTTTACTGTAGATTGTGTCTATACTTGCTAGAAGGCAGTAAAAAGTGTTCATCATAAATGGAGTTTTCACTTCTCAGAAGTAATGGAGCACTGATGCTGTGCTTTTTTGACAGTCCACTTAAATTAATTTTTGACAAGCATCTTAACTGGAGTATGAACAAATGTGTCACACATTCAGATTTGTCATTAATATTCCTGACCTATTTCTTGCACTTTCAAAAAAAAAAAATTAAATCTGAAAAGGAAAATGAAATAATCTTTTAACATATTGAATACAAATATTTTCTTAGTACTGTAATAAAACTATTAATCAGGTTAAAAAAGAGCTCAGAGGAACAGTGAATATAAATTGTGAAGAATTAAGGAACAGTTATTTGATTTATGACTTTTAAAAATCAATGTATTTGAAGCAAAATTTATGAGAATAAGATATAAAGGTTGTAAACAGTGGATAACTTAAAAGGAGAGATTGAAATCTATAAAACGTGAAATGGAAATCTTTGAAATGCTCCCCCCTTCCCCCATCACTTGATTAGTAAATGGAGGTTTTTATCACTGGATTTTATTTAATGATAGTAATTAAGACATATTTCGTTGAAAAAACAAATGGAACAATACCCTCTATACCTTGTTCCTTAAAGTGTTGAGATGACAATGTGAAGACAGCCAAGATACAATTTATGCAGCTGGTCGAAAATTTCAAACAGAATGTTTAATTTATATGTCTATCAATAGAAACGTGGATTGGAATAAGACTCTGCATTTCTTGGAAAAAATACGTTTGAGCATCAGCCGCAGTAGCTGAAACATTTTCAAAGTAATAATTTAAAAGCCCAGAATTAATGAGCTTGAAAGTATTTATGACTGTTGCTGGCCACGATACCCTGGACATGTTTCTGTCACTGCAGTAGAAACACATGATGTATTACATACGTCTATTTGCATTAAGATGGACGAAAGTACTTGATCATCAAGATAATGAAAGAGACTCCGAGTCTGAAACTGATGTAGCTTTATAAAAGGTAAATTTTAATAACATTTGATTTGAGCACTAGTTCTAATGCATTAACATGATTTATGTAAAAAAGAGCTATTGAGATGAAAAGAATTACTGATCATAAGCTTTTAAGTCTCTTAAGTTTCTAGCATATGAGGCTACAAAGTTGGTTCATTGGAATGGGCTAAGGACAATTTTAAAGGATGTGGTATGTTGATGCAAACTTAGCAGGTTCGAAAAATATGCAAAACGAGAAATGGAAAAATCAATTATTAAATATCTGCCTTTTATAACGAACAGTAAATGAAAACATTTTTACGAGAATTACACCTTTGGAAGGGATGCAGACACCAGACTTCTTAAACACAAAATTAATTTTGTCAGAACACTTAGTACTGAAAAATTTGGCCTTTATTTATATTTCAATGATATCGATGAAAAATTAATATCTTGTATATCTATTATATAAATTAATGGATATCATTTATTCAACAGTAGATATTAGGCCAATTTTTTCTTGTTCGTACAGAAACCGGTATTAGTAGCCATTCCAGACGTTGGTATTGACCATAACGACTAGTTTATCCAGAAAAATGAGAAGTTAAAGACGTCAAAGTAAACATTTTTATACGTATTAAGTCATAAATTTCCCCATCACCTTCAATTACAACGAGCAAACTCAATTGCACTTCTAGAGTATTTAGTTTGAAATTAAGACTCCGGAAATTTGCCAATTAAGCTTAGATAGTCGAAGCTTTCCTTAAAATTAAAGGAACACGTCCTTTGTTCAAATTGTCCATCAGGTGTTTAATTGATGAAGCAGTTCTTGGCTGTGAAAAGTTTCCGCATGACACGATTCTTGACAAAAACATACGAAATCGAAATGTGCCCTTTCTCTCTGCATTGCCTCTTGTTTATTCATTTTACTTTTTTAGCTCACCTCAACGAAGTTGGGGGAGCTTATGTAATACCGTCGGCATCCCAGGTTAAAGTTCTTTTCAAGTACTTAATGCCCTATTTCAATCAAAGGTGCATGGGGGATGCCTCTAGTGTGTTTCATTGTAGCAGTCAAGGTTTCAGATGCTGCATTTTCAGCTAAAGAATGACCAGGTTTATTTTTGTTTGTTTGTTGTTTAACTTCCCTCTCGAGAATTTTTCACTCATATGGAGACCCCACCAATTGCCGGTGGAGAGCTGCAAATTTTGTCCTATACTCGGCACTTACGGCCATTGAACAGTGAGGGATCTTTTTCGTGCCAGCACCGACTGCGACACGGTACCTCGGTTTATACGGTCTCATCCGAAGGACCGGACTCCACGTCCTACAGTGGGATTCGAACCCGCGACGTAAGGATCAACTCCTTACTCCGCGACTCTAGAGCAGACGCTCTAACCACTGCGCCACGCGGGCGACTGACCAGGTTTATGTTTTAGGTGCAGGTTAGAGTTTTTGGGGCAGGTTAAAGTTTTTTGTAGCAGATCCCGTTTCCAAGTAACTACCGGTATAAGTCCCATGTTGACCAAACTTGTATGGATGATACATCTAAGGATGCACACTACCAGGCTTGCTTCGGATGCTGGATCTGACCTAAATATGGATGAGTAATCGGGTTAATGTTTTGAGCAGATCTCATTTCCAAGTAACTGTAAGTCGTATGTTGACCAAACTTGCATGGATGACACATCTAAGGATGCACACTACTGGACTTGCTTCGGATGCTGGATCTGACCTACATTTTCCGGATGAGTGACCAGGTTAAAGTTTTTGGAGTAGGTCCATTGCCAAGAAACTATAAGGCCTATCTGAACCAAACTTGCATGGATGATGCATCAAAGGATGAGCACTTTCGAACTTGCTTCAGATGCTGAATTTGACCTACATCTTCTGGATGAGTTTCTAATTAAAAGTTTTTTTAGATAAATCTATTACCAAGTAACTGCAAGCCCTATCAGGCCAGAACTGCATAAATGTTGCATCTAGGGATGCACACTACTAGATTATTAGTTTGGTGTGGGTCTTTGCCTTACTTAAAGACAATATTCGTTGAGGTGAGCTCTAATCTTTGATTACCAGTGTTTATCAATGGAATTTCTTTTAGTCCAATTTTAGTTGATGGTTACAAATAGATTGACTCCGGAGCAAATTAAATATCAAACATTGCACATTAAAAATATAAGAATTTGAAAAACGGGTCCCAATGGGATTCGAATATCTTAGTGAGTTTGCGTTGAAATAACAGCGTGTTATTCAACTAGTTCATTGAAACCTCGCTTACAGTTCATTAGACTTAACAGGAAAACGTTAGTGTTGTGGATTTGATTGGGTCTTCTGAATCGAATAGAAGAGCAGAGAAATAAGCTTAGTTTGAAAACCTGTCATTTCCTTATCATCCCTTGTATAGGTGATATATTTGTGGTAGTGTGATGTACGAATTCTAACTAGTTTTGGTAGTGAGTTTACGCTTTTGCTCGATCGGAGTAGAACTGAACTGGCATGCCAAAGGTCCCCGGGCTCGAATTCCGATCCAGTCATAATTTTCCCCCTTCTTACATTTGGTGTTGCTGATCACCCATGGACGTGTAGGTGTAGATCCTATCAAAATCTTGAGAAACTGTGCATTGCATCTATTAGGGCGAAAACAGTTTAAGGAGGAAGGAATGTTGTGGTTATGGCCAAATGGACGGTGTATATCTACCTGGACAGCTCAGTGGTTAGAGCGTCTGACTAGTAATGCAGGGTCCCGGATTCTATTCTCGATCTAGCCATATCCTTTGTGATTTCCTGTGATTTTGTGCCCATGTCCATTGTTTGGAACCAGGAATTCTCTGGCGGATGATACTGACTACCCTTAGAACTTCACCACAAAGGTGTTTTAAACTTTGCACTCCCTAAGAGAAGACATTCTTTCTCTGGAGGGGGACTTAGTGGGTTAAGTCAATATTGATAGAGCACTGGACAGGCATGCCAAAGGTCCCGGATACAATCCCCAGACGAGGCACAAATATGTCTCTGTTAATGTACATATGTGAGATTAAAGACCACGTTTTCTAAGTTGTTGCATATTTGAGAAATTTATGTTACACATTAAAAAGTGCTTAGTTGGGTAGAACGTTGAAATCA